CTATATATATATATGTATATATATATTATATGCTAACTCTACCACAACCAGCAACAATATAAACTACAAAAAAGGACCCTGGACTTTAAGAGCTGAATATATATATATATAGACTATCTTGGGCAGGAGGTCGATAGAGCAGATTCGACAGCTGGAATTTTAGATTTTAGTAATCCTTTTACGGCATTTGCAACACAAATAGTTCATGTATAAAAAGCCGAAAGTTAGAAATGTTCTAAGAGAGTAACATACAAAGAAAAGAAGGAGGAGACAATAAACGGCGACAGATGTTTGGTAGGAAAGAGAGAGCAAACTACACCAGGAAGCCCGCCACCCACCCACACAGGAGACAGAAAAGGTTAATAGATGTTTGGTAGGAAAGAACTAACAGAGTAACACACGAACCGCCTAAAGGCAGAAAATGAGATTCAACACCAGGCTGGCACGAGCAAAACAACATCAGGGAGAAAAAAAAACAACAACCCAGATCCCGCAAGCTCAAAGGTCATACTGAAATATGCACTTTAAACACCGGCACAAAACAGAACACACCAGATGTTATTTTGAGAAGTCATACGTAAACAAACATAACAGACGAAAAAAAACCAAACACCAACAACCTACAACAAAAACAATCCAAAAAGTTTTAAAAAACAACTAGAGTGATAAAATTGAATGAGATCCCGAAAGCTTGAAGGTGCAGAAGTGTATTTATACACCACCACCCCCCCCTCCCCCAAAGACCCCACAAAAACCCACAAGAAGAGTTACTTTGACAACCATTATTCTGAGATAATTGTTTCAGGTTGTTGATGTGGGTTTTTTGCGTTAGTTTTTTTTTTTCTTTCATGTTTTTTTTTTCTTTCATGTTTTTTTTTTTTTTAAATTTTGTTTTCTTCAAGACAGTGACCTAGGTCGCCATTTAGCCGACAACAACAGGTAGAAATTTAATACACCTCACGCAAACGAAACTGGCAACTTGACCAAATTCTTCGTTCTGGTCTATTTATAGACCAGCCCACAGAATCACAAGAGCCCAAAGGTCACGGCCTGGGTCTGCAGCGAATTCTAGAGATCCAAGGTGACGTGACGATGCATTTTGGTTGTCTGAGCAGACGCGGTTTTTACCTGGCGGGATGTGTTTGCGGTCTGACATTATGATGACGACACGGCTCGACCGACTTCGCCACGTTCCGAAGGGGGCGGCTTTTACGTTTCGAAACAAGCGCCTCGTCAAGGCTGAGTTTCTACCACAGTGGTTTCTAACCATAATAATAACAATACTTTCATTTTTCTTTTGTCAGAATCAACTTTGCGAGCAGCATTTACTTGATCACCTGATGAGATTATTTTTCATTTTCTCTCGACCCCCCTCCCCTTTTTACCCCCGATTTTTGTTTGTTTGAGTG